TGACCACACAGAATGTGAATCACGCAAGTGTCAGCCACCTGCGACACACACAAACCAAACGTTAAAACCATAAGCCCTACTAAATATTCCGTAAATCCATAAAATACTCTGAGAATTGGCTAAGTCGATCGTGCCAATTGGCTAACAGCCAAATTAAATGTATATCCCAGATAAGTCTTGTCCCCTACACTATCGCTTGATATCCGGTGCTGCTGTACTATAAAAATCCAACTTAAACTGTACCCAAACAAATTCATAATCTATCAATTTTATGTTTTTTTCGGTCCAGCATTAAGAAGTTTTATAAAAAGTTGGTAAACAAAATGATCAATCATGTTTAGTGTCGTTTGACGCTAGTTGTGCATTAGACGGTAATTTTTAAGTGGATAAATTTACAGAAATCAAACAGTCTTTTTTTCTCTTTTGTATATGGTAAAGAATTGTGTAGATACTGTAAATAAACCGTACAGATTGTGTAAAGAAGAGAGGTTAAATTCGGCCAGATGGCAGATGCCTGCTAATCCACCATTATCGTTAGCAATGATCGGACTCCAGAAGCCATGATCATTTCAATTCATTGGTAGGGTGGATTTCACTCTTCCAGGATTCAGAACAACTCATGCAAGTTAGTGTCAATACTCTATGTGTTTATATATGTATACATATAAGTCATCACTGCTCAGTTCATGTCAGTTATCCCAAAAGAGGTTTATTTTATTTATTTTTTGAGTTAGGATGACTATCAATTTTTTTTATTCATCAGAACACATAAATTAGACAATATGGATTCATTGACTTTTTCTGAATCATTTGTTTTGGATAAAAGGCGTAATTGTTGTTCAATTAACTGATTAAAAGCATTTATTAATTATAGCTTTAGATCAAAATTATATTATCTGAAAGATTTTTTGAAAATTTTTCAAGTGAACCTTCGCTTTTTCTGGATTTTTTACCACATTCGGTGTTGAATTTGATCACACAGATTTAAAACTTTACAAAAGACCATTATAAACGATCTTAAAAATAACTGTAAGGATTTTTCAGTGAATGAAATAGTCATTGCATACATTTATAATTTAACGAATAAACACCCATCAGAAAAGAAGGGTTGTTCCCCCGTTTAATAAACCAAAAAGAAAAACCTCTAAATTATTCATCAAAACTAACAGTTGAAAGGACAAATGTACAATGATTAATGTCTTGAGTAAAAAATCATAAATTGTGTCATCATCCAAGCGTACATACATGAAACACATTTGACACTTTAAACTCAGTTTGATAAAGTTTCATCATCTGAACGGTGTGTCTATCGGCATGAAAATAAACACACGAGCTACTTAGCAGGCGACATGCCCTATAAATAGTGCGGAGATAAATGAATGAGGGTGAGAGAGAGAAAAGATTTTACGAATGAAATCACCCCCCGGTTAGATGATCTAATTTAATTGACACCCTAATAGCTGCGCTGCTGGATCGTTCGAGTTAACTTACTCTTGGTTCGTTCACGGAAGAGGGATGAAAATATAAGGGTGGTTAGGACGTGGGAGATGCATGGCACCAAGACAATTGAATTTTATGGGGGGTTTGTCCGCTTAACCGATTAATCGATTTACTCGAGCCTTGTTTCATTTCATTTTTTATTCTATTTCCGTAGCTCTTCACTTTACTCATCACGTTATCTCGTTCTTAATAATCCTTTACTTATCATCAATAAACTGATCGCTAATGCCAGGAATTCAACGGTTGTATTATTATCGATACTATATTTGTAATTGGTTCGTTAAAACTGCATTTTCTTATTACTTGAGTAATTGGAAAATTATTAACAAGATTTAACGGTATCTTATTATTAAATTTCAGTGGGATTACATTTGTTTTATTAATTCTTATTTATATATTACTTTTGTTAATTAAAAAGTATTATTAATATGTTACATTAACCTGAATAAATTATGTTAATTTTATCGTGTATGCCGAAAGTTTTATTAGGTTGTAAGAATTAATAAAAAAAATTTACAACTTTTGTTGAGTTTTTGGGGTTAAAAACGCTGAACCGCAAGCTGAGCTTTTAAAAACTTCTGGTATAAAAGAAATAAAAATAAAAAACATTATAACGGCTGGTAAACTTTCGGAAACTTTAGTCTTAAATTTTAGACGAGTTGGAATTACTTTGCTCGGTTATTAGAAAACTTTTTTTTAACCCTTATAAATGAGAAAATTATCTGACTCTTTATTAACCGAAATTAATAATTGAACTTGTGGTTAAAAAGTGACCTAAAAAGTTGATAAATTTCTTTTTCGTAGTTTGAAAATTTTTAAAAATTCTTTGATATTTTAATTTTCCAATATTCTGATAATTTTTTCTATTTTCACCTTATAAGTAGATTTTAAAAATGCACAAAATTAAAATACTGATAAATTTTTCAAATAAATAACTGTTTAAATGAAAGGACCATAAAGAGTAACTAAAACTTAAAAAACAAGGGAAAAAAAATAATCGACCATGCGATTGAGGCTCCGGAGGGATTCGAACCCTCGATCTCCTGTTTACTAGACAGGCGCTTTAACCAACTAAGCCACGGCGCCGCACGCTTGCCTTGCAACGCCTTAACATACTTAAGCTTCAACTATCATTGCTACTTCTTTCTCAATATCAGCTAATTAATCCCTAAATCCTCTCCCAATTAACAATCACTAACCAAAAACGAATCCCCAACAATATTTCCTTCATTTTCTTCTTAAAATTTCCCCTATTTATCCAAAAGCAAAATTTCCATCGAGGGCAAGCTCGAAGACAAAAAGCGCAAGCGTGCATGGGGGTGGCAGATCCCCACCCTTCACCGGGTGGTGGTAGCGATGATTTGGGGTTGGTGGAAGCTTTAACCCCTACTGAATTCCTCTCTTCTCCGTTCCTCCCGCAAAAGAAGAGAAGCATTCACGTAATTCCGGCGGGTCTTTCACACCCTCAAGCCCTCACTCGCAGAACTCTCTCCGAGAGGCCCTTATATATACTACCTCTGACAATCTAATGCCTAGTGCTGTCGGTTATCGTGCGCCGGTTTATCAGTGCGGTCTTATCAGTGAATCCTCGCCAAAACTACCCCGTTATTTAAAATCCCTAAAATAATTAAGAGTAACCAAATAAATAAATAAATAAATAAATAAACGAACTGAAGAAAGAAGCACTAAATGTCGAAGAAATAAAGTTTAAGTTTACTACCGCAAAAAGTAAAAATAAGATAAAAATTAACCAACAACAAATGCGTTGTAAAAATGTTTAGTGAATCAAGCCCCGGAAAAAAAGGAGGAACCATCGACAAAAGGAGTAAAATAAATAAGCGTTTGATACTCGTCGGATACCAATACGAATGGTTTTGATCGTGTCTCATCCTCGAAGTCACGGAATCCGGGCTTCTCATTTCTTACAGAGCCGGCGAGTTTCACGAAAGAGGATCCGCAAAAGGACCGAAGAAATTCATACCACAATAGTAGTAACTGTTTTTTCAATCCAGCCCGTAGTCCTCCGTCTACTTTCTCCCTATCGAGCATATCCTCCACCAGTTAGCCATCATCAGGATCAGGAATATCTACTCCGACAATTTACATCGGATTCGGCTGGAGAGTTTGTAAATTTACATTGACACGCGTGCAAAAAGCTTCTGCCGATTCTCCGCGACTACTACTACTATACCATAATAATGTATGATAGTATATGATCACTCGCGGATGGATCAAACGCGACACTGGGCTCCGGTCTACGAGGAACCAACTTGGGACTTTTATTCCCGATTACTATTGCCGATTCATTTCCCGAGAGTCGACTTGTGTTGATCAACCATCAACTAATTTGACCAAAAGAACAATCTGTGCTTTGTGGTGTGCATTTTTTATTTGGAAATTTTTATCTTTAATTATTTATTTTTCAGTTGTTATTTTGTTGATCGTTATTATTTAAGTGGTAGACCAAGGTTATGGTCGAGATAAACTGGGAGTCGCGAACAGCCTGATAAGGAGAAACGTAACGCATAACCGACGGCTGTAGTTTAGTTATCGAGTGCGTGGCTGGCTCTGGGCCCGCTCGGACGCGACTGCCCTCCGGGCGATTTATTGTTATTTAATCGGTTACTTTTTTTCGATTAATTTTAATTAGAGCTGTTTTTACTTTATATGGATTATGGATTCTCGGCTATTTACATAAATTCGGAATAGAATTGTCAGTTGATACGGCGCGTATTGTTCTATTGCCGCTTGGAAATTTTATTTGTGTGTGAAAATTAATGTGAATTGGAAACCTTTATTTACTGTGTTGTGTACAGTGGAAATTTTTTGAGTTATTGACTTAAAGTGGAGTTTTTTTGGGTGGAAAAATTATTTTAGTTGGATTATTGTGACTTTTAATGTTGGTCATTTAAATTTTCAATAGAAAATTTTTAAAATTTACAGTAACAAAATTACAAATATTTTTAAAGATTAAATTTTATTTTAATTATTTATTTTAATATTTTAATTGGTAATTTAATTAAAATTCTTTTGAAAAAATAATTATTTAAAAAGAAGACAATTGGTGTAGAAAAAATTTTTTTGTGAATCTTAACACCAATTATAATAATTTTAAAATATTTATTATAAAAAAATTGAAAATAAGGAATTTAAAAATAATTATTTAATATGAATTAAAGGAGTAACAAAAATTATTGTGAAATTAATATCTATAATAATTCTAAAAATCTGAAAAAAATTGACCATGAATTGAAGAAATAATTGTAGAAAAAGACAATTACAATTCGAACATTAAAAGTGAGACAAAAATAATTGAATGACAGTCTTCTGGTGTTGGTCGAGAATTTAAAACCCTAAAAGTAATAATTATACTGGAGCTGTATTTGCCGTACGCACCACTGCCGGGAGGTGGTGGAATCCTCCCGGCGGTGTCAGGCGGTGGCGGAGGTGGTGTAGGCGGCGGATGCCGCCCAGTGTTGCTCGGCGGAGTCGATTTGTCGATGTCTGCAGCGATTCAGCAGCCGAGCGCAAATGCAGCTCCACAGGGTCACATCCCCCACCCCGCGAGCGGTTTCATTGGGGCCCCACCGAGCCACCCCGCGGGGTTCATCGGGGCCCTTCCGCCGGCGGTCCAAATGCCTCGGTCTCCCGACGTGGTGCTGCCCCTCGGGCCCTCTCTGCCGGCGGGCCACCACCGCGAACCTGATTCAGATGCGCCGCCTAATCCCGATGTTTTGCTGTCGCTACTCGCCCGCAACAAACATCTTGAAGGTAAGAAATAATTAAGGAAAATTTTACATATTTATTTGGTTTGATTTGGCGAGATTGGAAGTTTATAAAATTTATCTTAGAAAAATGTCCAAATTTTTTTTTTGATAAATTTTAATTTAATTTTTTGATTCGTAAAATAATTGAATTCATTCAAATTAAATATCACAAAAAAAAAAAAAATAGAAATTTAAAAAAAAACTATTTTTCTTGAATCAACTATTTTTTTTTTTAGTGAACTATTTTATTTCACACCCTTTTGATTCTAGGGACAAAATATTATTTCAAGATGTTTATATTAAGACATAATCTGATCGCTAGTTGTATTGTTTACCGTAAGATAAAAATAATAAATGATAATAAAATGGAGTTATGGATTTCAGTAGTGTCTAAGATTTTGTTCGAGTTTATCTCTTGATAAGAAAAAGTAGACGATAGATACACAAAATGAAATAGAATTTGTGTGTTTTTATCAACCAATGATAAAACTCAAACTTTGACTATTAACACTTATTATTATATATTTATATCAAAATAAGGCTAAACAAATATTTACTTTTGTCTGTAACATACATTTTCAGAGTAATGAAAATTTAATATTTTACGAACCTGATATTTATATTTATTGCCAACTTTGCGAACATAAAGCAAAAGCGCATAAACCTACGGCAAGTTTATACTCAGGATAGCAAGAGGTGTGAGTGTGTGCGTGTAGTATGTAAAGAAAAATTTCTAAGGGTGCAACAGATTGCCGTACTTTACTGCTCGTATGTGATACATAATGCACGATTACTTTGTGCTGTACACGGTTTCTGTTAGTCGAGTTTGGAAGCATGCACACCACATACACACCGTGTATTTATGAGCGTGTACCGGCAAAATAAACTCGTATCTTCAGTGCGTGAAAATGTGCTAAGTGTTTCACATTCTCAGCGCGACATACCCCAGCTTTTTACACGCGATTTTGTAAATTATTTTTTAGTTTTTGTCACCAAGGGTCAAATTCCCGCTTACTATTTTTACAGTCACATTCTGACGACACTTTTTTTTCGCCAATTTTAAAGTCAAATTTTATTTTTGTAATATCAATTTTTTTTTTGACACTTTATTGAGGCTCGTTTTTTATCAGCGGTGAAGTAAAATTGTATTGAAGAAATATTTTTTATCAATTTCTAATCTAAGACTCATTAGATAAAGTTTTTTTCCGATTTTGTGTCGTAAAATTATATTTTTAAGTATTTATTGCTTAATTTTTATCGTGAATTTTTTATTTGGAGATTACATAAAAATAATTTTTTAATATTTAATTAGCTTTATTGATTTTTAATAAATAATTTTTTTAAATTAGATTTTTATTCTTGAATAAAAACTAAGTAAAGAAAATTGATTTAGACACTTTTTTTTTTTTTAATATTAATAATAAAATTTCTATAGTTCAAGATAAATAATATTTTTTACAAACGGATTAGAAATTATTTTATTTTATGGTATAAATTTAAATTAAATTAGAAATATTTATTAACTGTTAATAAATTCAATTTTTTTCTCAAAAGAAATTTATTAAAAATTAAATGATAATTTCTTATCTTAAATAAATTAATAAATAATTGAAAAAAAAAAATTCTTTTACTTAAAAACAATTAAATTAATTAAAATAACTAATCTCAAAATTTTTAATTCAAACATAATTCCTTGCATAAAATAAAAACCACAAGTTAAAAAAAAAAGAATTAAACAATGATAGTTGCAAACACAATAAAGTTAAAAATTCGCCGCGTAATTCACCCACCTGTCCATGTGACTTATTCATCCCCTCAATCTCGGTGAGTGGAGCAAGGTCGAAGGAGTTGCTTAATTATGCACACCGAAGAGGAGTAAAACCGTGCGATTATATAGCCGAGACTGGAAAGTGCCTGAGGCCTTTAAAACCCAGTTAAATTACTGAGTATCAAAATTATCCATATTTCCATAAATATTTAAAGAGAATGGCGCGAGTACCGGCGCCTGATTTCGGTTTAATATTAATCGTAGGTAATTAATTATCAATTATTACGACAGCAGATAGATCTAATCCTCATGAATTCCGACGGAGACGGAGACTCATTCACCTTGTTCAAGAGTAATTAAAATTCATTATGTATATGGTAATGTAATAATAATTACCCGACAAAAAGGCGAACTGAAAAGGCAAGTTTCAAGTTTCCGTGCGCGGGGAAACTGTATTGTATATTGTATATGTTATTTATATTATATATTTATAAGGAGGAGAGTTTTGAGGAATGCGCTCAGAAAACATGGATCGAGAGAAAAATCCAGCAGAAAGCTGAAATATGGAATCTCTGAGCGAGATATCAGACATCCGAGCAAGAAGTGATGGATACTCCTCCCCGGTCTCCGGAGTCTCGGTAAGTCGGATTCGAGAAATAATTTAACGACAAAAATCGATTCCTCTCGATAAACGAGCTACCGAGGAATTTGGTCGTGCGTCTTTGAAAAAACTCACACTCAAGTCCAAACAGAGCTCTCTGCCTTCGCGTTCAACTTTTAAGATCGAGGATCAGGATCTCACTCAGGATCAGCCGCTCTGTATTTGTGTAAGCACTTTCTTGCTTCACTCACAGACACCAGGTTTAAGTGTATTAGACACACTCCATTTGTACTTTTATTTTTCTTTAGACTATCCATCAAATTTTTAATTTAGCTTTTTATCAAGTATGTTTACATTGTTTTGTATTATATTCGCTAAATTTATTTAATTAGTTAGCAAAATTTCTTCATTAAAATATTTAGTCTTTGAAACTAATCGGCTGTATTATTTCAAAAGACAATTTTTTTTTTTTTTAATTTTATTTTAAGTTAAAAATTTGATATTTTTTTTTTTATTATTCCTAATTAAAATTGTATTTTAAAATCAATTAATATTTTGGAGTAAAATTTAAAAATGAAAATAAATAATAACATTTTTTAAATTTAATATTTAAAAAAAAAAAATTAAGAATTTTTTTACTAAGAATTAATGCAAAAAAATTATAAAATTAATTTTTTATTTTATTTCACAATTTAATTATTAAAAAAAAAATTGGTCAAAGTTTTGTTAATTTGAATTTAATAAATAAATAATTAATAAAAAAAAGCCGTAGGGGTTTTATTGTAATCCGAAGGGCGAGTTGACACGCGGTTTGTTTGGCTTTTTGTTGATAAATATAGACCCGGAGAGATAAGGACTGTTTTACCTATAAAGAAGCTAAGCTCTTTTTGTTAAAAGGCCCTTACGTCGACTCGTCGGATATTTTAATAAGGTAAGTGCTGCAAGGCCGGCCTAACACTCAACCCCGCCACGGTGCCATGGGGTGGTTTAATCATGTAATGTGTTCTCGGGGGCACGGCTAGTCCGCAATCAATACGATATTGCCCCGAGCACGATATTACGGGCATCCCTTCATTCTCTTTCCGAAAACCTAGCTAAAAAAAGAAACAAACAAAATCAAAATCAACTGAACTGACTTAAGAAATTTTCAAGAATACAAAAAAAAAAAAAATAAACAATTGATAAAAAAAATTCTATTTAAATTTTTTTGTGCGATTATTTTTTTAATAAATAAAAAAATATTTAATCGAATTTCGAGAAGTTATTTTTATCATAGCGACCTTCGGATACTGAATAGCGTGTACCAATTAAGACAATTTTGTACAAATTAATAATTAATGATTCAGATTAATATGTTATATTATTGTATTTTAGCTTCTTATTCAATAATTTAATACTTATAGTTAATTGTAATCTCGTGATATAGATACGAGTTTGTTATTCGAAATTCGTCAATTTAAATTTCGGTGATTTCATTCAATTTATTTAATGACCTTAGGCAATTATTTTTTGGTAATCAAAGCAGATGATTTTTTATCGCAAGGCCACTGGGGCAAGGTTGCTAACTTTTTATTTATTTTTTTATTTCGAGCAATTAATCCTTCGAATTTGTTTATCTGATTGCACTGAAATGAGTTTAATTTTATTTATAAAATATATAAAATAACGCTCAAGGGGTTGGCTTAGCGTTGTAGGGTTAGCGTGAGGGTGAAAAGAAAATGGCCGGCTGGAAAAATAATCATTATATACATTGTATTATAATATTTTTTTAACTATAAATTATATGTTTATTGAATGATATTTAATTTTATCTAAAATAAAATTAAAATGAAGTTTTAAAGTTTGCTAAAAAAAATTGAATCTTTTATTATCTTTCTGACTAAAAAAAAATTATTGATATATTTTAAGTGTCTAAACGTTTCAAATGACTGAAAAAGTATGGGAAGTATTTTAATGCCGCGTGCAATGGCTATTAAATTACCGAAAAATAAAAAAAGTATCCCAGGATATAATACAATATCTTTTTATTCAACCGTAAAAAATTGTGTGCTTTTACTTAAGTGATATCAGATGAACTTATTACTTATTCTAATGTCTAGCGTCTGAAAGATTATTGTGTTAATCTTTTGTTTATTGGGATTAACGAAAAGACATGTAGTATAAGGATGATCAAGCTGGGGTTCAAGGTGACGAGAGACAAGTTGACAGTTGATAATATGGACTTAAAAATAATCAATCTATGAGAGCGAGTGACCTCGAGGAAAGTCCACATTCAGACAATCGCCCACATATTGTTTGTATTTGTTGTGTAAAATGTACTCAGCTATATTTATCAAGTTTTATTTTACTATTATTATTATTTATATAAATATATGTAAAATGAAATTTAATTGATTTTTAAAAAAAAGCAAAAAATTTTTATTTTAAAATAAAAATTATTTTTGTTTAATTCGCGGATTGATATTTTAAAATGAATTTAGACGTGTGAGTACTTATTTTAACAGAAAATTTATTATTATCATTATAATTCTTTGATTAAAATTTAAAGGTAATAAAAATAACTAACAACCTTGCAGTCACTATGTGATTGCCGTGACTTGTGAACGATAAATAAATAAAATTTTGCTTTATTAAATAATGACTTAGGTTAAATTGCACTGTACTTTCTTAACTATTGACATTTTTAAAGATATAAGCTCATCCCGATGTTAGGCGACTGCTTGGCCGAGCGGTTTAAGTCTTAAACTGCCGCACAGCAGTCGCTCAGGCGTGGGTTCGAGCCCTGGCAATTGCAATTTTTCTTCTGCGATTTCCGGGGCTTGCTCCCTTGCCGACTGTACCTTGACCAGGTTTCTGTGGTTTTTCCTCGGTCATTGTGCCCCTAAAATAAGCGGGGCACAAGCAAATGCGGGTACAGACTGTAAGCCGGCCACAGCCGCAAAAACGGAGGGTCCTGTTACAGGACTATATAGGAGGAATAGCTACAGGAGGAAATAGCTACAAGAGTAGCTTGGAGGGGGCCTGGTACTGCGAAGTAATGCTAACGCGGTCCCGCAGTACCAGGTACAAGAGAGGGGAGGGTTTTAGTGAGTAAGAATCTCACACTACCTGTGTCTTATGAATATTTCCCTCCTCTCGCCCAAA